CACCCTAATGCTGGATTCTCATTCCTTTCCTTGTGTAGTAATCACACCCCTTCACCAGGCCGAGGGCCTTCTGAAGCCCTTATTTGGGCTGTTGCTGTTTGAGTAGCTGAACAAACTGTTTCAAGCATGTCAATTTAGGCTTGTCTAGGAGAAAGTGTTCTGTTCAAGGTAGAAAATAATTTAACCCAGTAATTCTGATCCCCCAAGCCTTGTTTGAAATACCAGATGTAATTTTATGCTGTTTAAAAGATTCATATGCATGCAAAACAGATAGTTTTATCTATGCAAGAATGCTTTGCCAGTGGCAAGGTATGTTCTTACAAATCAGCAGACCACTCGCATATCTCTATCTAGATGCACATATAAACACATGCCAAAACCCAGCAGGGATATTGCAAGAACAGCAATTTAACACCATTGTATTCTCAACTAGGAGTATCTCTTTTCTCCCGCTAAAGCCATTTATCCTCATATCCACACATAGGAATACTGGACTTCCACATTCTCCTCCTATCCACAAGCTGGTTGCTCAAGCCAGTCCTTCTACCCAGTTACTTTCCCTGACTCCCTTGTTTTTCTTTCTTTTCACGTCCCTTTCTTTGTTTCACTCTTCGTTTCCTTCTCTCGTGTACTTTGGTGTATCTCTTTATGCATATCTGTGCCTGTTTCCTCTTAGACTTCTTCTGTAATGTTTATCCATTTTTGCTGGCTTTTTTTGTCCCACACAGACAACGCAAAGCAACTGTAAACACAGTTTAACCAGCTTGTGAAACCTGATTTGTGGCTGCCCTGAGTCTGCTTTCTCATCTTGCTCCTTTATCAGACTTCTTTCTCCTCCCTTTCCTTCCCTGTTTCCTCTCTTCTTTTCTTTGTCTACCACCTCTTTTCCCATTCATTTTCCTTCCCTCTCACAAATATTTGTAAATAGCTGTGTATTTTCTGTAAAAGAAGTGATTTATAAAGGGGCCTCACTTGAGGCACACAAAGCTCAGACACAGGTAGCACGGATATCCTTGTAGCATCTCTCTGGGTTAGCATGAACCACAAAGCAAGCACACTAAAGAAAAGTTAAGTGCCAAGCACTGTGGCTTCTTCCTGCCCTGCTTATGTCCTTGAATTTTTTACAAGCAATGAACAAAGTGAACAGATTTATAAGTAACAATCTGCAGTGTGTACCTATCATTAACTGTATTTTTTCATTTAGGAATTCTGGGCTCTGCAGGACCTTGCTAAACACAAGTTTTTTTCAGACTGGGTTACTATATACCTCTTGAGATTAGGACGGTAAGATAAATACAGTTTCAAATTAAAAATAACAAGAGTATGTTTCCCAGTGGAATTTAGGTGGGGTAAACTTAATCTTACTCTGGTCTGGGTCAGATATTGCATGGTCTTCAGCCAATTCTATATATTGCTCCTGGGCATACTTTTACGTGCCATTTTTCCCTATGTGAATGGAGATCTCGCTAGCTGCCATGATAATTGCATGGCTGGAATGTATATTTATTCTATCTAATTACAATCTGGTCTATTCTGAAACACAACTTTGTAAAAATGACGTTATGGAGTTCAGCATTGAAGTGTCCTTCAGTGACCCCATAGCATATTTACTCACTTTACAATTATGGTTGTTTTTTTAAACTGACAACCCAGCAAACTCAGTCTGGGATTTGAAAGTCAAGCTGTGTTCTCTCACTAGTAATCTATATGCTTCTGGTCAGGTGCTCTTCTCATATACACTTCTGCAACCCTGTTGCCTTGGACTTAGGGGACTGCACAGATGTGACTCAATGTGTAATTGAAAGACAGTGGATTGCATAGGTGTCTGCTTCACAGTTGGAACCAGCTAAAATTCTGTTGTTTCATAAGCCAAAAAAGAACCCTGTTTGCTCTTACATAGTTGTGTTGACTTTGCAGGGCTGATAGTGGTAACAAGAGAAATCAAACATTTTTAAACTCACGACAATTCTCATTCTCTTTAAAGATACAATTCTCAGGGAGCAAATGTACATGAGGAGCAAATCTGCAGAGAAAGAAAATGCCATTTTCACATAGTCACTTTTCAGAGTGTAATTGCACTTAGGGGGTTAATCCTGCTTCCATTGAAAACAATGGCAAAACTCCTATTAACTTCAATGGAAGGAGAACAAAATATTTTAAAAAGTAAGTAAACCCCACAAATGCATGGCAAAATTATGTGCCTAATTTGCACATACATTTGTCAGAGCTGCAGCTACAAATCTGAAATATTGGTAAATGTCCAGTAAGATTTGTAATTTGGCATTTGTGCCAGTGAATAAGTATTTGCCATTTGCATTTGATCATATGCAGTTTAGGAAATTAGGTCAATAGTGTCAAATGGAATGCATTTAGAATATATTCAGTATAGGAATGAAACTCAGCCGCTTTGTAGTGGATGCATTATCTTCTGAGAAACCTTGAGGGAGTATATATACTAAACAAATGTAGAATGAATACTTTTTGAATGATGTCTTGGGAAAATGTTAGGAGAGAGATAAAAGGGAAAGTAGATATGCCAGTTAGGTTTGTTTAATTCTTGCTGTTCAACTAATGGAATTATTGATTTTTTTCTATTTACAGTAGGATAGGAAACTATAATGAAAGGGAAAAGAGGGAAATGTGGTATCATCAAGAGAAGTTAAAGTGCACAAAATTCATGTAATATTTTTTTTTGGTTTTCCACATATAGTAACATGGGTGATTCAGACAGTACAAGAAGAAAAAGAATGACAGGTAAGTAAATCAATTGAAGAATTTAGAACTTTTCAGGCAATTGGAAATCGTTAGGTAACAGTTTATTCACAGAAGTATGCTATCCATGCACTAGGTATTCAATTAAATAATTACTGTGGTTGTGACATGTCAATGGTCTGAAGAAAGTATCAAAATTGTCCACTGGGAATAGAAATATGTACATTTGCTTTCCTGCAGGTTATACAGAGCCTGAGTCTGTGACTGTTAGGGTACTGTGCCAGGTACAGCTTTTTTTGTCTGAGGAGAGAGAATGGGTAATTGTATTTCATGGCAATTGTATTTGTTTCATTTTCCAAACAAAATCCCCAAACAACTCAAAAGCACTATCACACTTGTATGTGGTGCCTCGCTGCACAAAACATGGTTCTTCAAGGCTATCAACCCCTACCTTTCAGGAGCACTAAAAAGTACCATATTTTTATGAAGAAAAGGAAACAAGGGTCAGATTTTGGTCTTAATTACACTGCTGCACATTTGGAGTAATTCTGTTAAACTTCAATAGAATTACTTCAGATTTATACCAGTGTAATTGAGATCAGAATCTGGCTAAATGTATCCTGACAGAACTGTATATACATACTTCAATTGAACAAATCGTCATGAAGTTCATGGCTTAAAATGAAGCTTTATTCCTTCAGCAGTTACTGTTTTCACTCCTTCTGTACTGCATTTACCTTAATTAAATTAAAATGATCCACACATCCTCTTCAGACTTCTTCCTTGTATAAATTATCACAGTTTCAGTTACTTTAATTTAAAGTAACTGAATCTCTTCATAATTACTTAGAATGTGAACAACTAATCTCATCCTGTTGCTGTGGCAGTTTAATCTAGGTGAAAGATATTCATGAACAAACATTATTAATCGATGTTTCTAATCTTTCAAAGGTCAAGATACATCACATTGTTCTGCATTTCATTATTTGATTAAAGCCAAATATACTTCTCTATGAATGCTTATCTAAAACTTGTGAAGTACAATTTACTTTTTTGCACCATTTTTTCTGTTGAGCAAGTATTAAAATGCAGTACCAAACCTGTTGCCATTTTCATACAAAAAAGCTTTGAACATGTTGAAACAAAAAACATTCTGTTTTTTAAAACTTGTTTTTATCCCTTTCCCCCAACAGTCTCCATAAAATAAAGTAGAAATTAGAAATGCTCATAGCTGGCTTTTGGGACCATGGATGTGGGTGGAATCCACACTTCCTCTGGTTTTTACATTCCCTGAAAACCAAGACTAATTTAAGTTTTCATTTAAAAATCTGGTGTCTCTAACCCTTTCCATTGTGGGGGCAGCCTTCTGAATATAAATTGACTGGTAGGATTGAAAGTTTACCACTGATTGAGATAATGGACTGAAATCGCTTCTGCTGGTTCAGAGAGAGGACTAAATTGCACCTCTCTGCACCAGCAAGGAACTTGAACTGTCCTCTGGATGAAATTCAACCCTGGCAGGTAGAAGCAAATGCAGCCTAAGAGAATCTAGCCTTATATCTGAGATATCAAATAGTGGACTTTACTTTGATTCTGATAGCTAGATTCAGTGCTCCTGTCACCCCGGATTTAGAATAATCCTATTACTAACACATACACATATTGGAGAGGTAAACTGGCACCTAAAAATATAACTCAACAAGTAAATCTACATCAGAGCATTATAAGTGGGATTTACAATATCTGTATGAAATCTTAACTCTTAAGGAAAATAGTATTTCTTTCAGAAATATCAGTACTTTTACTACTACTGCTACTATAGCCCCTTTTATATAAGGATCTCAAATCATTTTACAAGTACATTAATAATCATCAAGCTTCACTTGTGAAATAGGGTAAATGTTATTAGTTATTATAATTGTGATTATCCACATCACATGGGGGAAACTGAGGCACATAATTTAAATGACTAGCTTAAAGCTCCAGAATGAATCAATGGGTGGAGTTGATAATTGACCCCAGAAATCCTAGCTTCGCAGCTCCTGATAATCACTAGACCACACTCATCACTCTTTCTCACTAGACTTGCATTTAACGTTATTATAACTACAATATCGTTTTATATCAAAAGATCAATTTCTGTTGTTTACATAATATTGAAATCTCATTTACGCATTGTTTAAAGATGACATCACAATACTGACAAAACTTTATTATTTCCTAATCAACATGCAGTTATTAAAATCATATAATCATTTCTTATCTTAGCATAGTTTTATACTGCTGCTTGTCATCATATATTACTCCTGGGGGAATTTTGCTCCAAAAATTAAAAATTCTGCACATACTTTAAAATTCTGCAAAATTATACATATTTTATTTGTAAAAATAACACAATATAATCAGACCAGTTTCAATTATTTCGGTAATTTATTTCAAAATATCTGTCAGGAAGTATGTCTGTAACAATAGAGACAAAAAAAAAAAGATTCAGGAAATGTGTTTCTGACAAATAGATTCCTTGCTAGGCATATTAATACAGAACTTTGAGTAATGCATTTAAACTACAATACAGAAACGCATTTCCTGCACTCCTCAGAAGCAGTGCAAAGGCTTGAGGGCTTGGAGGAGCTGAGGGAGAGGGAAGGAGCCTGGGCGTGAACCCGGAGGGTTGTTGGGTGTGGGTGAGAGAAGTATGGAAAAGGTTTTTTTGGGTGGGAGAGGAATTGTTAGGCAATTGGGGAGCTTCCCCCATGCAGACCCTGGCTGACCCTAGCTTCTGCTATTCAGTCAGGTACATCTGCCCCTGTCCCTGTGTGTCCCTGCACCCCGTATCCCTTTGTGTCTCTACACACCCCTACCTCCTGCCACATGTGTCCTGCAGCCTCCCTCACCCAGCCCTATACCCCCTGTCCCCTTGTGGCTGTGCAGCCCACCTCCCATTCAGCCCTTGGCTCAACATTGTCACTCCACTAGCTCCTGAGTTGCTCCCCTACTAGCCCTTCTAAATCCCAGTCTGTGACTGCCTAGCAGCTCTGTGTGCCCCACTCTGTCCAGAGCCTCCTCACCTGGCCCTGCTGTGAGGAATGCAGCCTCTCCGGCTGTCTGCTCTCTCTTCTGGCGCCACAGCAACCCCTGGTGGATGAAAGGTGTAACTGCAGCACCTCTTCACCGGAATCTATATTTTGCAGAGAAAAAAATGTGCAGGGGGACATGAATTCTGCATATGCGCAGTGGCGCAGAATTCCCCCTGGAGTAATATATCTGAGCGACATCTGTGTAAAATCATTAGCAATACCAAAATCTGTAGTGGACTTCATGGAGTCTTTATCACTTTTTCCTTTTCAATGTAAAATCTCTACTAGGGGTAGGGTTTGTGGTTCTGATTGTTTAGACTCTATTAACTTACCCTTTTTTCGTAGAAGAGGGTGGTTCAGTGTTGTGAATGTCATATGGTGGAAAGACCTTTTCAAAGAGGAAGGTTTTGCAGCATTTCCTAAAGACAATCAGACTCTGGATTTGCCTAATCTCCTCTGAATCTCTATTCAGCAGCCATATCTCCTCAACTCTTATGCACTGTGTCCCGGCCTTTGTGATCTACCTTGTTCCAGAGCAGTGCCACTGTCGCATCAGTTATTATAGTAGGTCAAAATTCAGTCTTTAATAGATCAGGCCCCAGCTACATTAACTGCTTTGAGGATTAGGACCAAAGCACTAAACTGATATCAGAAACTGTTTGGGAGCCAGTGGAGGGATTTGATCATAGGCCTGATGTACTCATGATGGCCTACCCTGTGGAGTAGTTGTGCAGCTGTATTATGTATCAGCTGGAGTTTATGCATTGTTTCCACATTCTGCTTCAGATACAGTAAATTACAGTAATCCATCCTGAAGGACACAAGTGCATGCATCACTGTGGCCAAGTCCTTATCCTCAAGGAAAGAGCCACATTTCATTGCAAGCTGGAAGTAAAAGAAGGTAGTTTTAGATACTGATGCTATCAGGTCATCCACGCTTAGTGAAAAGTCAAACTGAATCCTGAGGCTTGACACTAATTTGGTAAATGGGGGTAGTATGCTATGAGTGGAAGGCGGAAACAGTGTCTTGGCTAGCATTCAACGCATTTCCTTCTCCAACTAGCATCACATTGGTCTTGCCTTGAGCCAGCTGCTCTTCACCCAAGAGCTGATGACTTGCTGGCATTGTGTTATCATAATAGTGGTGGTGATTGCATCAGATGAGAATGAGCTATATAGTTCACAGCTGAGCCCATGACGCCTCACTATCTCCGCTGGTTGTCTGGAAGATATTGAAAAGAAGAAGGAATACTATGGATCCCTGCAGGAAGGGAGGTGAGGGTCTTTGGAGAGGAGCAGTTAATCATCACCACTCTTGGAGTTCTGCTGGAGAGGAATGATTGGAGCCACTGTAGTGCTTGAGTATCAGGGGGTAGCCATGTTAGTCTGTATCTACAAAAACAACAAGGAGTCTGGTGGCACCTTAAAGACTAACAGATTTATTTGGGCATAAGCTTTCGTGGGTAAAAACCTCACTTCTTCAGATGCATAGATGCATGTCTCTATGCATCTGAAGAAGTGAGGTTTTTACCCACGAAAGCATTTTTTTATTCTGATTTTTTTATCTTTTACTGTTTATTCACATAGGCATTTTGGGAGGCTGGGCGCGAGCACCAGAAGCTCCCTAGAAGTAGGAGGT